CCCCGACCCTACCCTCCTCTCTCTCTCTCTCTCTCTCTCTATATATATATATATATATATATATATATATGTATATATATATATATAGCATTTGGATCATAAAGACGTCCATGTAATATATATAACATGAAGTTGTTGTGCATCCATTTTGAGTAGTTCCCTCTTCTGCTCTTCCTCCTTCGTTCTCCAGGTATCGATCACTCTCGGAGTCCAGTCTACCAGCATCTAGCACAGAGAAGATAGTTGGGAGTTTTGGGATTTCGAAGCTGTTTGAATGCAATGACCGACCATGTGAAATGGACTTCTGTTGAGTCCAAAATTAGCACGAACGCCGCACCGATATCCTCCTCCTCGTCGAGGAGTCCGTCCATGGCGTCGTCAAGCGGAGCGGGGACTGCAGTGGAGAACAAGCGGGCGCGGGACATCCGGAAGCACCCGGTGTACCGCGGGGTGCGGATGCGGGCTTGGGGAAAGTGGGTATCCGAGATCCGGGAGCCCCGCAAGAAGTCGCGCATATGGTTGGGGACCTTCGCCACGCCCGAGATGGCCGCCCGCGCCCACGACGCCGCTGTTCTCAGCGTCAAGGGCGCTCCCGCCGCTGCTAACGTGCTCAACTTCCCCGAGCTCGCCGGCTCGCTGCCCCGCCCGGCCTCCCTCTCCCCGCGCGACGTGCGCGAGGCTGCCGCTCGGGCTGCGGCCATGGACATGCCGAGGGCAGCCGCGGCCGCTTTGGTGGTGGAGGAGGATGAGCTTGAGGAAATAGTGGAACTCCCGCGGCTGGGACAGGACTTGTTTGGCTCTGCTCATCTGGCAGGCGAATTCGTCTTCCATGACTCGTGGGACTTGTGGGTGTACACGCCGCCAAGGACGGAGGGAGAAGAGGACCACTAGTTCTTGCCTGAATGCAGCATCTCCACTGCCTCGGGAGCTCTCTCTTTTGGGGCATCAAGTAAATGTCCTTCATGTCTTCTTCTTCACGTCCTTCTCCTTCCAAGCACTGCACAGCTCACCAGAAAAGAGAGAAGGAACTCAGTGTTGCTGTTGGCCCGAAATCGCTGCAAGAGCATCTCATGCTTGTCACCTAAAAGACTCTCATCGAGGCGTAACTCATGGTGCAGTTCAAGAGGAACCAACTCGAGGGAGCAGACGGCGGCAATCATTCTACGACTGTCATTCTGTTCAAGTTTGGAAGATCCAACAATTATTGCAGATGCATTCCACTAGTTGGACATGTAAAAATTGTATTCCCCTCTACTTTTATCGCTCGCTTCATTGTAGTCATTCCCGTTGGGACTTCCATAACTGCTGGTCTTCCTTGTGAGACAGGGAGAGTTCACTGCAGTTCTTCATCTCATCTTACAATGTCTTTTTCCAGCCGGCCTTTTACAGTCACGATGGCGACATCCGCTGCTGTCGTCTTCCTCGTAAAAGCTTGTGTGATCTTTTTTGCCAGTTTAAAGAAGGCAACTGTATATGCTTCTCACCGAGCATTTTTGGTCGTATTCGCTTGCTTCAATGATATTGTTCAACGTACGACGACAACCTTTATCTCTACTTGTTCACCGTGTGTTTCTTCATCCGAAGAACAGTGTTGGAATTGCCAATGAACATATATATTATCTTGATGTAAACAGATTATGTTGTTGATGATCCTATGATCCCAAGGATTTCTATATCGTCTGACTTGATCTGACTTGACCGGGTTCCAACTTGTGAACCGCGGAGTTGGATCGTACCCGAAACAACACCATCGTTCGGATCCAATAATGATTTCAAACAGTGCATTCAATTCTACGTTGTAGAATTGGGGGTAACCCACCAACTCCACCTAATTTTGCTCCCTCATAATGATCCACTAAACTTCATACATCAGCCTCGTGATCCTTCTTCCTCCACATGATGGCTGCCAAATGAAGCATGATTGATCAGTGATCCTGCAATCTACAAGTAGAAAACTTGTTCTCGAGTTCGGAGAAAACAGAGGATAGTGTGTTCTCCCGTTTCACTCATCTTCTGATGGTGGAAGTGGAAAGAATGGAAGAACACCAGTAAGCTAGTCTTACTGTCGTCAATGGGCGGCACACAACTCGTGTGATCAGCGACTTCACTGATAGTCCATTTCCTGTTCCTTAGAGAAGAGGAGTCCTTTCTTGGATCTCGATGCCAAGTTTTACCTCTGTCAACGTCAACAATACTCACGTTTAAGATGAAACGATTAAGCTGCAATGTTTTCTTTCGAAGGTAAATAATTGGATTGCATATAAATCGACAATCTTCTCAACTTGAGATGGACCAAATGATTCTTGCATTGAACACTTAGATTCTCCTGGTCGGGGTGGGTCTAAATGGTTACGCACAGATCCTACACGTGTTGGTTGGGATCTTACCTTCTCCATTTGGGAAGATGCTCCGCTGTGGGGAATGTGTCTGCCACCCCATGGCATACCTTTTTGTTCTTGTGCAAGCTACTTCTCCGCTACCGCAATCCGATTGGTTCTCCAGTTATAGAGTAATGGGAGTTGCCTGTTCTTCATCCGGCTAGTGGAGAATTTGCCAGGCCTTGCCATGTGGAACGAGAGCACAAAATGACATCAAGAGCAAGTGGAGCGACGCTCCATTCTTGCCCTTTGCTGTGAAAGCTTTTGAGCCACACCAACCATGCTCGTTCTGCTGTCAAAGGTGGTTTCAAGGCGATCTCCAAGTGGAGAGGCAAGTCAGCACAAACATATGATTCTGACAGAAGTTTCAGCTTGCATATATATGGAATTGGTGAAAGCTTGCAGCTGAGTTGCTTTCCTGCAGCAGAGTAGCATAGAGCTATAGCCTTACATGTCCACTCAACGCAACAGGTAATTAACTCGCGATGTTTGTCAGTAACCAAACCATTTGAGAATGCTACAGATTCTTCCTGATGAATTGTTAGTGTTAAGCTTCCTCGGAGGCTGTCGTTTGCGTGAACGCACCACCATTGTTTAAACAGAGTGGGATCCATCCAGCTGCTGGGCATCTTGTACCTTGCGACACACTGTGGTTACATCTTGGATGCTTATATGAAGCGTAAACAGATCTACTGTAGCACATTGCAGAGTTGGGAACATATTCCAGTGCTTAGAGCACTACCAACAAATATGTGTTTCCTGCTTCCTTTTGTTCTTCCCTCCCCTGTTCTCTTCATGAATAGAATACTTCAACGAGGCATCAAAAACTGAGTGATGCTCGACCAACCAATGGGTTTCTTTGTTGTCTTACGAATCAATCAAACTATTGGAAATTATTTGTAGCAGATGCAAAGCAGCATCATTGCAGAGGGTGGAAAAAGCAGCAACAAAGAAATCTTCTTCTTCCCGCACCTTTCCCCACTTTGCAAGGCAAGGAATCTGACACAGATTCCTCCCATCTCTCATTGACGGTTGCCGTTATTTCGGTGCATGTGGTTGGATTACAGAAGAATATTTACTTGATTTTATTATGGAAGCGCTAAGTTTTTAGTCATGCGAAGTTCTGATATGATACTCCCAAGCTCTGTTTTGTGCAAGTCTGTGCTGCCTGGCAAGATTCCTCCATTTGATGACAGAAAGAGATTTACGATTCCTCCCAAACTCTGTTTTGTGCAAGTGTATGCTGCCTGGTAAGATTCCTCCATTTGATGACGTTGACACAGTACGATCCTTCAAATTGTTTCTCAAAACCCAAGGTGTAGAATCTTTGTCCTGAAAAGTCGTAGAGAATCAGCGGGTGCCAATACATTGTGATGACCACACCATTTGTGGAGGCTTATGTTGGTCGGAAAGGTACTCTTATGTATCACTTCACTGGTGGGGAGCATCGACCGTCGTTTGTTTCCATTCAATTAGATTTGTCGTCTCGTCCTTTAGCCCTCGAGAATTCATCCATGGAGATTCCTACCCCCCATGACGCCAAGAACTCTATCTATAAATAACTGAGTTCCCAAGCCCCCTTGTGAGGCAACAAATCAGATATTCCTTGTACTTGCCTCCTACATCACCTTCCCGCACAGCCATGACTTCCACCTTGTTCCTTTCTTCACTTCAATCCACCGCATCCCCTCGAAACTGCAGGTTCCATATGCCGTCCTCCTCGTCGTCGTCGTCTGGGTCTGGTCGGCCCAGTTTTGATTCGTTTGATACGATATGTCGTCGACGACGACGAGCTTGGGAGTCTGCCAAGGCCAGCGTCGGGGTCGAACCACGACCCACGGTCTCCGTCGGACCGGCCGAGACCGGGCCCGTCGACTGCGGCGGGAAGCTCGCCGCCTGGACTAGCATCCGGCAAGAGCGGTGGGAAGGGAAGCTGGTTGTGGAGGGAGACGTCCCTCGCTGGCTGGTATAGTACTAGCATGCATGATCACTCTTGGAATTAATTTGCGTGATAAGCATCCATGCACTTTTAACTTCTTACATAGAAGATTTCCCTAATAAGAAGATGTAAATATAAGTTATATGTGTTGATAATTATATGTCACCCTATACTGGTATTAATCGGTAAAACTACGGCCTCCAGAACGGTACATACCTGAGGAACGGCCCGGGCTTATGGCACATCGATGAGTACAACTTCCGCCACCTGTTCGATGGCTACGCCACCCTCGTCCGTGTCTACTTCGAGCAGGGCCGCGTCATGGCCTCGCACCGCCAGGTCGAGTCCGAGGCGTACAAGGCCGCCATGAAGAACCGGCGGCTCTGCTACCGCGAATTCTCTGAGGCCCCCAAGCCGGCCAACTTCCTCGCGTACGTGGGCGAGGTCGCCAGCCTCTTCTCCGGCGCGTCGCTCACCGACAACTCCAACACCGGCGTCGTGAGGCTCGGCGACGGCCGAGTTCTCTGCCTCACGGAGACCATCAAGGGCTCCATCCAGATCGACCCCGACACGCTCGAGACCATAGGAAAGTTCGTGTACGAAGACAACCTGGGCGGGCTGATACACTCGGCGCATCCGATCGTGACGGAGTCCGAGTTTTTGACGCTGTTGCCGGACCTCGTGAGACCGGGGTACTTGGTGGTGACGATGAAGCCCGGCAGCAACGAGCGGAGGGTGATGGGGAGGGTGAACTGCCGCGGGGGCGCGGCGCCCGGGTGGGTGCACTCGTTCGCGGTGACGGACCGGTACGTGGTGGTGCCGGAGATGCCGCTGAGGTACTGCGTCCACAACCTGCTGAGGGCTGAGCCAACCCCGCTGTACAAGTTCGAGTGGCATCCCGAGTCCGGGAGCTACATGCACGTCATGTCCAGAGCCACCGGAAAGATCGTAAGTGCTGCCTGATCTCCACGGTTTCTTAAGCACTTCACTTCTCCCTTCTCTTATTCTAAAGATGCGATTGCAACGCTCAGGTGGCAAGCGTTGAAGTCCCTCCATTCGTGACCTTCCATTTCATCAATGCATACGAGGAGGTAGACGAGGACGGAAGGATCACCGGAATCGTAGCCGATTGCTGCGAGCATAACGCCGACACCAGCATCCTGGATTTGCTTCGCCTCCAAAATCTGAGATCATTTACCGGTCTTGATGCATTGCCGGATGCCAGGTAATATTCCTGATGTCATCATCCCATTCTTTTATTTCGATGAACAAGGCATATTCCTCCCTTGTACTACTTACATGCAACTCCCACATAAAATAATATTGATGATTATAATAATCATAATGTACAGCCACACACAATGTTGTACTACTTAGCACACTTGATGAAGTCATCGGTGAGCTCATGAGGTACCTTAAACAATGGTTGATGTTGTTTGTATTGATCAGGGTAGGCAGGTTTAGGATTCCTATGGACGGGCGTCCGAGGGGGGAGCTGCATGCAGCACTGGACCCAGAGGAGCACGGCAGAGGAATGGACATGTGCAGCATCAACCCGGCCAACCTGGGGAAGAAGTACAGATACGCCTACGCCTGCGGGGCCAAACGCCCCTGCAACTTCCCCAACACCCTCACCAAGGTTCATATTCATCATGCTTTGCGGTGGAGCTGCTTGCGTGCATAGTTTTCCGTGGCTAATGGCGAGGCTTTTCTTTTTCTTTCTCCAAATTATTATGACAGATCGATTTGGTGGAGAAGAAGGCGAAGAACTGGCACGAGAACGGTGCAGTGCCTTCAGAGCCATTCTTCGTGGCGAGGCCAGGGGCCACCGAGGAGGATGACGGTAAGCTCCAAGTTCCTTTCTCTGCTGCCCCACCAGTCACTGTGTTTTTCGAGTAGATGAAATCCAAGCTCACAGCTTTCGGATCTTTCCAGGCGTGGTGATCTCCGTAGTGAGCGACAAAAACGGAGAAGGGTACGCACTGGTTTTGGACGGGGTCAAATTTGAGGAGATCGCACGAGCCAAGTTCCCCTACGGACTTCCCTATGGGCTGCACGGGTGCTGGGTTCCAAACAAGTAGCACAACTCGTGTTCTTAAGCTGCAGTAATGGCGAGCAGCATCGTGTAAATCCTAGAGATCATACCATTCCCCATCTCTCTTTTATGAAAAGTGGTCTAATTGGCTGGAGTCTCTGTGTAGTTCCTATATCGTTGAAATATAGGGTAGAATATGGTATTGTTATACTATAGCGAAAATAATCGCAAGATGTTGGAAGAAAATGTTCGATGGTAAATGCTCATCGGTTCAGCAGTGGGCCATACTAAAGTTTGACACGTTGCTTCAGCCAGTAGTGGGCCCCGGCCCAGCCCCACATAAGAAAGAACGACTGCCCTTATCGCGATCCTTCGCGCTTCTTCCACCTCTGGAAGCCACACCGAATCCCGCCTCCGAAACCCTAGTCTCCTCCGCCGCCGCCGGCGTAGCCGACTGCGACAAGGAGGTCCCGGTCCTCCGCTATACGCTGCGACCAGAGTCTCCCTTTTTCTCAACCCACCTTCGTCACCCTCCTCTGCACCCGTAACCGTCGAGCTTCCTTCGCGGTCTTGCCCTCGATTCCCTGTCTCTCTCTCATGTTTCTGATCTTGTCTTATTTCATAGGGCTTCGACTGGGGAAGAAAGCAACACGTCGACGATAAATCCCAGGGTCTGGTTCTGGAGCTTGGCTGCTGGTTAATAATTCGGAAGGAAGGGATGATGACCATCGGTATGGTTTACCGTTCGCTATCTTCCTCAGGCCTTTTCGATCAAAATTAAAACTTTGGATGGTTTAATTCTTTCAGGTTTCATTATTCAAATATCTTATCACTCTTAGAATATTTTTGTACTACCAAAATCGAACCCACAAGCATTAAACATATGATAAATATAATCTAATCAGTGGAAATCCAATGCTCCTTGGTTCGATTAGTTTCACATCGAAAATAGGTAAAATTAAGATTGACTTACAAAGGATGTGATGAGTGTACTACTATTAACTTAATGCTAAGCATTTTGGCCCGTGGGTTGGGCTAAACAAAGTTGATAGATTAATTAGCCCATAAGCTCGAGTTATGACATTTGGTTTCAGAGTCGACCTAGTATTTGGGCATAGTGTGGGGGTTTGAATAGGAAAGGACTACGGAGTCAGACGATTCGTCGTAGTGTGGAGCCACTGCTAGGCTATCCCCATGGGGGAAATTGTAACACCCCGATCAGTCCGGAAGTGGACAAGACTAAGATTGACTTAGAAGGATTCGATGAGTGTACTATTATCAACTTTGGTTTAGGTATTTGATCAGTGGTTTAGGTCAAACGAAGCTGATAATTCAGCTAGCCCATCAGGCCTTAGTCGTGATAGTTTATACTAGTGATGCGGGCTTTGTATGACATTATATAGTTGAACTGGTTACTAGAAAGCTTTAGAGGTTCAGGTTTTTTGGTATATTTTAATTGCAACATACATGACTTGTTTTCTATATGCATGATCTTTGGTGCTGTGATCTTGAATCTTAAGCCTTCTCCTTCTAGGATAAACATCCATTAGTAGGATCCAGACACAATGTTGCCAAATGGGTTCTATTTGAGAACCAATGCTCCCAAAAAAGAACCTCCTTTTTTATTGGATTGTTGGGTCATAAGGGTCTATTTTCATCTTTGGTTGATATCTTAAATCTGTAACAATAGTAGGACACTATTATCATCATGTTATGATCAAGAAAGCATTAGTGGCACTGTTGGTAAAACGCTAGATGCAGACCTTTTTTTGACAAATAACCTACCTGTTGCATGTTTTTTTATTTTGAGTTTGCTATAAAGGCAATTATATTAGTTTAAGAGTTTAGACCATGGACGAAGATAGTTTACGTGCTCAACTATGCAGTTGAAAGTCTGCCAGTTTTAAAACTCGCTTAGTGTGAAATAATTGTGGAACGTATCCGTCCTTTAGTTACAAACCATCAGTTATATGACACTTTTTCTCTTGTGATATGCAGTAAAAGCCAGCACAAGCTAACTTGCTTTTAAAGAATCTAAAACCAACAGCCACTTGGTTATTAGTTTTAAATATGGGATAAAAAATGTCAGGGTTTCTTGATTTGCAGGTTATGTGTCGCAAGATGGAAAATCCTGTCTGCTTCCAGGGATACCCAGAAGAGCTATTCTGTCATCGTATTCATGTCATAGAAGCCAGCAGCTGTTCGTTGGTAGCAAACCCATCCCTTCCTTTAGTTCAACGAGGACATCTGTGACTTGCAATGCTAGTTATAACAATTATAAGAGAAATCCTGATTTCTCTAGACAACCAAAGGGGTCTTCAAGGGGCAAGAAGAAGCAATACCAAGAGTCTGAGCAGTCTGACAACACTGAAGTAATGGATTTTATGTCCTCCAAAAATGGGTCATTGCTTTCTCCAAGTGCTAATACTAGATATCAGGCTACTGCAACTTCAGGACAAAGAGAGAGAGAAATAGTTGAGCTGTTCCGGAAAGTTCAAGCACAATTACGAGAGCGGGCTGCAATCAAGGAAGAGAAGAAGATTGAAGCTGCACAACAGGGTCAAAGCAAGAAGGGAACTGTCGCTTCGGTTCTCAAATTATTAAGGAGGCATTCAGGGGATCAGAAGATGACAACTAGTCCAGGAGAGGAATTTTCTGTTGAACAAGTAGAAAGAAGCAACACATTTGAGGATGAGCAGAATATAAATCCCTTTGGCCCTAGTGATAGCAAGTCAGAGGAGTCTGATGTACGAGGCCCTCTTCCTTCTGCTAGGCCTGCCTCAAATTTTAGTAGAAAATCTCCTGTTCCTAGAATGGAGTTGCAACCTGTACTTTCTGCAGAGGAGGATATCAACTCTGCTCCTTCCAAGCCACGAGGGGGAAGGAAGAAGACTGGCGATTATGAGTCTGTGCAATCAGCACCTGTGGAGTCTGTTGTGTTGGATGGTCCAGATGAGTTATCATCAGATGATCAGTTGGATCCTTCTGGTTCTGATGAAACTATAGAATCATCTTCTACCGAAGCTTCTCCTGATTTGGGTTCCTTGAAACTTTCAGAATTGAGGGATCTTGCAAGGTATCGAGGGGTCAAAGGGTATTCCAAACTCAAGAAAGGAGAACTGGCTGAATTATTGAGTGCTTGATGGTTCACATGAACGGTAAAAGAAAAAAAGTATGATTGTATATATGTAGCTCATCTTTTCCATGTTTTGTTTTTGACAATTAAATATTGTTTATTGTTGTTCTGGGAGTTCGTTTTCTCCATTGTCTTACTGTCTGATGCATTTGTTTGAACTTTTTTGCATGACCAGAATAGTCTTGTTATGAATGGATTACATCCTAATTATTTGCATACATAATATCTCAAGATATTCCCATGTTTCAGTATGCATATAGGTGGAGGTATCGGATTGCATGTCTTGGTTTCACCAGTCTGGCTAAATTCATTCTTTCTTTCTGAGGTTTTCTCTGTCATGATGAAATCTTTCCCACTGGAAACTCACTTCAGCTGGTGTCTGCATTTCCATGGCAGTGGTTGACACCAAAAACCAGGACTGTTTCCTGGATTGTTATTGCTATTGAACTCCCTGTACTGTGTCATTCTATTATGTATATATACATGCAGACATATATGTTCAACTCGAATCAACAGAGACAAATACAAAAACCACGATATACTTCAATTGATCATAGCAGGCTGTTTGAGAAGTTCCAGTTTGATTGGATTATCTACAAGCAAGTCCGACTAACTGAATCAGACTTGATAGTTCAAATCTTAATCATGTCTTCTTCCCTGCTTCCAATCTGTGTAGTTTCTCCGAAAACATGGAAGGGCAAAATGTCATGACTTCCGCTCCTACGTTGTTGGAGTCATAGCTATCTGCAGAGTTTCCTCCACCTCCACCGCCCTGAAAATGTGCACTCGGAGCTCGATTGGTCCGATGAGCTCCAATACACAGTAGTCTCCTTCCTCCAGTTTGTTGGTGCGTGCAAAGACGGACCATCCTCTAGATATTTGGCACCTCAAGCTTGGAATGTAGGTCACAATCCAGGACTTACCACACGGGTCGCGGAGCACCAGATTTGATCTTTTCGGTGGGAGATGCTCCCGCGAGAACCACTTAGGAATCCTCTGCAATCAGTTCTGAATCAAAGATGGACCGAAAAGAAAAGATTGACATGGTAAAACACAAGCCTAAGCCCTGCGTTATGTAACTCTATGTTCTTCAATAACGAGCAAGACAAACAACACAAATAACTCTAGCTAAATATGCTCTTGTTTCAGGTGTAAGTAGGTAACGACACTAAGGGAACATAGGTTTCGAATACATTTGGCCATCATGCTGCTCTTTGTTGATGATAGTGTTTAGTCTACTTCTGTGGCCCATGAGAACAGAGATAATGTCATGTAGAATAGATCTCAACAGACAAGTATCAACACACCTAGATGGTTAACTCACCATGTATGGTCTGTAAACTTGCGATGGTGCCATGCGCATAACAATGTAAGGAAATGCCGAGGTGAAGGAATTGGCAGCTTCCTCTGCTCTCAACCTTTCTTTTTCAGTCAGAGGCCTTCTCGTCGAGATACGACCACCTTTGCTGCGTTTCGTTGTGTTGCGAAGAATATTGATCAGAAGCTCAGACTCTTCTCTTTTAACCTTGACATCACAGGCAGGAGCAGGATATGGCAGGCCACTTTCTGCCTCTGATCAACACAAATCACAGCATTTCAATTTGCAAAGTGAAAGTAACATAATTGGAGAGCTCATTAATCTTGACATGCAGTGCCGCATGCTATGAATCGATAGAACAAGAATGCAAGACTTGCACTTACGTTGAAAAGGTTGAATCTGTAATAAATTAGGTAGCTGGACATCATCTTTCAGAAGCTCCAAGCTCATGCCATGTTCGATAGCTTCGCTCTTGATGGTGCAGCCGACTTCGGGCGAATGCTTCGGTGGCCTACCGCGCTTCCTTTTCCCTTCACATTGACGGGGCTTTCTCCGTGGTCTGACCGCAAAAGCATCTTCTCTCTCGCACGCACTCGTGTCGAAGATTAAGACGGTGAAGCGCATGTCTCCGTCATACTGGAAAACGAGGAATTCGTATTCTCTAAGGGAGTGGTCCTTCACGAACTTGGGCCATCCGGTCGTCAGGAATGTGTCCTTCATGTCTTTGCCTAGTTCCACATGCCATTTGCTTCCACTGGGGCCCTGCAGGATGGCTTTCTTGGATCCTACGCTAGAAATATGTTTCAAGAACTTTGGTGGAATCCTCTGCAGTTTTGAAAGCAATGACAAATGGATTATACACTGCAAGATCGCTACGTTGACTATTCGTCAAACCTTCCACGACACAATGGTAGAGAAGCAACCATAGAGCAGACCGGTGCTAGTCCTCATACTTTTAATTCGATTGGTGTCTTCATCAGCTTCGTTTTCGGCTTAGCTTACGTCAAGAACATTCATCGGTATGTTGATGATTTAGTTATGTAAGCATGCATGCATCTAATGGAACAAAACGGCGAAAGCATCGCATAATCTTTCTGCGACTTGCTTCCAATTTGTCAGTCAGGGCAGTCAGTCTGAAGCACAAATTGCTTCAAGAGAGCTTCACACGAGCAACTGAAGCTGAGGAAATGCTTCTCAGCTTCTGTGTGCAGCAACGAATCTGAGTCGACGATGGCAAGCCAACTCGCTGTATCAAGCAACGCTTGAAAAATATGTAGTCGTTACAGTGATAGATCCAGAAGCGTTCATTACCGAAGACGTTGCCTCTTTACCTTGTAACTTAAGTGGAATCTCATCCCAGTTGGCCAGTTAGTAAGGTCTAGACGAAGCTGAAGAAGACGAAGAAGAAGAAGAAGAGAAGGAAAGGTTGAGAGAGGGCTTGCCAGCCGCTGTGCGAAGTCACCCAGAAGGACTTTGAAGAAGTGGGGCTTCCTCGTCGGCAAGCACTTCTTCTTCGCCTTTTGGCTCTTTGGCGGCATTCTCAGCTCGCTACCGCCGACTGAAGAAGCCTCCGGGAGGAGCGGAGAGACGGCCTGTGTGGGAACTGTGTGGACCTAAGGAGGACTTGTGGGGAGGGCAGAGGGGCGGAGAAACCAGGGTGGGTAAAAGAGACATGGGAGCACGGCTTTTGAGGTCCCGTGGGGTCATTCCGCAACGCCAGAACCCTGTTCCCAATGGCGGACTCTCTGCTCCCAGACAAAGACCGAGAGAGACTCCTGTTCACCGCTGCTGTATTCGATCGATCGAGAAGCCATACACGGGTCACAGAATCCTGTTGCCGTCTACCAAATTGGGGTAGACGCTGTAGATTGCAGTGTTACGCTTGCGCAGCTCTCAACGTATCAAGCGGTGATGCAATATACTTTTGTTTTATTATATTTGAAGACCAATATACTTCTCTTCCTATATCTTCCTTTTATCTATTTGCCATCATCATCTTTAGCCATCCAAAACAACATAGCACACTTTTGAGCACATAAGCTGATTATTTCGTCAAACAGATTGACCTCTGATGCCTTTCATGCCGAGATAAAAACTAACCTCCTCGCTTTCTGCCTCAAACATATATAGTTCTCGCACCTCGGCTCGCCACCTGTCCCGTCCTTATCTAACAAGTACTCGCACAATTTAACCCGCCACGCACCCGCAAAGCATGGCGCACCTGTGGGCCCACAGCGTGGTCCCGGAATAAAACAAAAAAAGCGGGTAGGTGACGGTCACGTAACAGAAGTGTTCTCGAATCGACTTGGCGCTACAATTATTCGCACCGAAAGCGATCGGAGCCCTGCCGCAGTCTGCCACTCGTGACGTGTCGCTCGGGGGCGGCAGCGATGCTGCGATAAGGTGGCGCGTCATTCAATTGCTTCATCGATTGGGGGAGGGCTTCATCTGGCTGCGTGTCGTCATGCCATTGGCTGCTCTACACCTTTTATTCCCATCTTACCCTCCCCCAAATTTTCTCGTCTCCCCCCTTCCCTTCGGCGATGGAATCCGATCCCCCGGGGATCCAACCTCGCCGTGCGCGGGACGAGGACCCCGCCACCGCCGCATCATCCTCCGCTGAGATCCCGGCTCCGACGGGCCTCGTGGCGCAGCCGGCGGAGGCGAGGGGCAGGTGCTTGTGGCGGAAGGGAGGGGCAGCGGCGGTGTCGTGGGGGGCCGCGTCGACGGTGGGGCGGCGCAAGGAGATGGAGGACGCCGTCGCGGTGGCGCCGGCGTTCATGGCCCTCACGTGCGAGCGGGTCGGCGGGTGCGCGGCGCCGCCGGGATCGGGCGAGGTCTCGCACGTGCGGTTCTTCGGTGTATACGATGGCCACGGGGGCGCGCAGGTACGTTGACCTCCGTCTCTGTACATCCAGAGTACCCAGCGGAGTCTGTGCGTGCAGAAACGTGGACCATCCGGATTGGATCTCTCCATGAATCTGATCGCCTTTTTCTGAAGCCGTCTGATCGAGCTACGCTCATTGGACGGTCGGATTCGTGACTCTAGGAATCAATCATATTTGGTTATCTGATTTTTACGCGTCACATTCTTGCATTACTTACTACCTTCATGTGTCCACTTTGATGCACCACATTGCTGTAAATTGTTTGGATGGCGGACAGTTTCTTATCTTTAGGTGAATATGTATCTGTTAGATTTTGTACATTAAGATTGTGTTAGCTACCTTGAAAGAATCACAATTTTTTTTATTATTCAGACTCCCTTTGGATAAATGTTCCAATGTGTCCTTTCAGTTGATTCTCATTTGCTACCATGTTTAATCAGAGGGTACATTTTATTCAAAGAATGTATGTGCTTAACTTTGCAAACTGTTATTGTCATGAGATGTGAGGCATCTTTCTAAATTAAAACAAGTCGACAATGTTGGCTGCAGATTTCATGTTTGTCTGCTGATGAGGGGAGCTGTATAGGTATGCAAATGTGATAATTTTGTTATTCTTAATGCAAACATAACCATGCAGAGTCCTACTCTGGAGCCATTCTGCCACATACTACTTGAACATGCTGCTACCACTGTGTTGGAAGCATTGTCCCATTCATCGAAAAACATCTTCTGCCCTTTTCCTAGTCTTTGCCATCTTAGCTGATGTTGTAGTCCTTGGGAATGCAGTGTTCCAAATGATAAGGACAGAATCTCTTCTTATAAAAACAGAAACTTGGATGGTAAACCCATTTCCATAATGTTATAAGCATTGTTGTCCAGAACATATGTCATTGTCTTCCTATAATCTTTACCATCTTCATGGAGGTTGGGGTCATCGGGATGGTTGTGTCATTGTTTGGTAGCATATAAAAATAGTGGAAGGTGACCTGCGAATAAAGTTAGATTGGAACTTCTATTCGAAAGGGTCACTGTAATACCTATTGTAAGGTCACTTTTGCTCAGTACATAAAACCTCTTTTTTCTGTTAGCTATAATGAGAATTTAAGATCACAAGTATTGTGCTTTTTTACCCAATTTGGCAAAAAATGCCACCTTTATTGAAAGAAGTTACTTAAGCATTCAACACTTGACTGCTTTGTTTGTTATTAACAAATTATGCTTTCACTGGGGATCAACTCTATTTGGCTGCCTTTGATGTGCTTCAAATATTTTTTTATGTACTTGTGATCGTTGGTCAACTGACTTCCTTGAAAGAAAAAAGACGTTGTTGCTCTACTTCATATTCCTTTTCATATTCAGGTGGCTGATTACTGTGCAAAAAGAGTTCATGAGGTGGTGGCAGAGGAGTGGGATAGGATACAGAATCCAGAGTGCTGGAAAAGGAGGTGGGAGACAGCATTCCATGATGGCTTCAAGAGGGTTGATAATGAGGTCATTGATGAAGCTGTAGCCCCAGATATAATTGGGTCAACTGCTGTTGTCGTAGTAATATCAGGTTGTCAAATCATCTCCTCTAATTGTGGTGACTCAAGGGCACTTCTCTGTCGTGGGAATCAAAGAATCCAGTTAACCATTGATCATAAGGTTTTACTATTATCCTTCTACTCTTCTATACAAATCTTCTTTGTTTGAGTTAATAGAATTAAATTTTTTGTTAAGGAGGAAGCAATTTCTTAGTGTTGTTTAAAGGTGTTCCTATACTATAGCAACTCATTGTTATATTCTTTGCCGAATGCTCACTGAAAATTACAGGTTACAAAATTTTCTGGTTTACCACTTGTTGTACTGAGGGTAGAATAACTGCACATGTTCCCCTCTATAGAACAATCTTTTCAAATTAACAGATTCTTGACTTGCAAGCTAAATTGAATTGCGACAACAAAAATGGTTCTTGATTGTTTTTATGCCTCTTTAACTTGTTACCATAACTAAGAAGATTGAAAGTACTTAAATATTAATGATTTTTTTTTCAGAACTTAAAAGTGTGAGCTTGATTCAGTTTGAACTGCCAATATATTCTCTCGATTTGCAATAAGCTATTGTAAGGCATGACATCCATGGCTGTGGAACTCAACAGGTGACTGCTATATGAACAACTTTGTGATTTCTGAAAAATCTCTATGAAGCAGAAGGCATTAAGTGCTACCTAGTATGTCAACTTTTCTTTTGTTGTTATTGATGTATCATGGGGATTTACAACCACATCCTTTGTTCCTTGATGCATTGTTCGTGATCAGTTCTTATTTGGGCCAGCATCTATCGTGTTATGGTGAAGGGATTAACAGGGCCCTTTGTTATGTTTTCCTTGTTGGGAGGGGGTTGGATGGGTGGTTAAAGCCTGTAATCAGATGTAGCGATGTAGCAATTGTATTCGACCATGAAATTGCAATCGGAAGTACTGTCCCTTGCCAAATTGCTCCTGCAATCCAGATAACCATCCGGTACTATGTCTAGCTGAACTTAAAATTAAAAATCATGGCTTGTTGTGAAGATATATCTTTTGTGGACTTCCATTCTACCAGTTGTCATATAGCAGGGCTCTGGAAATGTTCATAATTGCTTTTTTTTGTTGTTATAATTCATTATATGATTTTATATTTTTGCAAGGATAATTTTTTTCATATTACTTCCAGTTTTACATCTACTTCTAATAGTGGTTCTTTACAGCCTGACAGAGAGGATGAACTCATGCGCATTGAGAGCCTAGGTGGAAGAGTCATAAACTGGCAAGGGTGTAGAATTTCTGGTGTTCTTGCAGTGTCCCGGTCTATAGGTTTTTTTTTCTTATCCTGATCCATTGCTTATATGTTTTGTTACTAAATCAATTTCGATCTGCTTTATACTAAATTTTTACAGGTTTTTTTCTTTATCAGGAAATATTGCATATGTTTCTTGTTGCATCTTTTTAAGTTCAGGAGATAAATATCAAAATCAATTGAAGTAGTTAATGCCTGCTTAGTCTCTGTCATACTTATTTTGGGTTAGGAAATACTTAAAAGCTAGACATTGCGAACACTTATGCTAGTGAATGTACTGCTCAACTTGAGAAGTTTCCGCTTATGGAAGTTCCTAATGTGATCATAATTATGACATTTGAATCGGCAACTGCCCAACCAAGCCTTGAGTCACTGGGTCTGTTGTTGGGCTAATGGGTCAATCAATTGAACCATGTGTAAAATATATAAATTATAAAAACATAAAAATGCTAACAAATTTAGGAAATGTTATGGCTCGATTCCAAGGTTCTCAAAGCCTTTTTGCTTCATTTATTGTTAGCACTCAAATAGAGAAAATGCTCTCATTGTTACAACTAGGACAAAGAAGAGTTTTGGTGTATCTTAAATCAGTCTGGTCTTGATTGGACTGGTCAATTTGTTTCACAGAGAACTGGCTAGTTGGATTTATTTTTTTGACATTTCAAATCCTATAGCCAAAACTGGATTGTCCTTTCTAGTCCAGTAATAATAACTATGGTTATGATGTGGGGCTGTGGAAATAGATTTCTTGAACTATGTTCTTTCTTTATAAATCTACCATCAATTACTTTTGCCATATAACTTGAGTCAGAAATATTACTTCATTACCAAATAATTTGTAAGATGCTAATTTTCAGGTGATCGATATATGAGACCTTGGGTTATTCCTGTACCCGAGATCAGTTTTATGTCTCGAAGTGAGGATGATGACTGCTTGATTTTGGCTAGTGATGGATTATGGGATGTTATGTCCATTGAAGAGGTTGGGGACATGGCTTGTCGTCATTTTAGGTGGCAGCGGCGGAATGGACTAGTAGATGGAGTGTCACCTGCACAGGCTGTTGCTGATCATCTTACCGAGCTGGCTTACCAGAAAAACAGTTCCGACAACATATCTGTAGTGGTAGTGGACTTGAAGTCCAGGAGCAGGCGTAGGCCTAGACAGTGAGAAGGTAGAAGGGTTTTGGTAGACTGCAACGCTTGTGCCTTCAATGCTGTCTTTTATGCATCCAAGAGAAATATACCAAGTGTCAACCAAGGCTGGTACTAGTATCCACTGATGCATTGTTGAACGGGAAGGTCGAACATGGCTTCTGCTGTGATCTACCCTAATGTCCAACACAAAAGAAACTACGGAAGTGGTTGAAGATTACATCCATGGCTTGTTTCCTGCTGTAGTTGGGCGGCACGAAGCTGCAGAATCCAGTCTGAGGTTGGCACAAACAGACATATATAGATTCTGCAACCTTTTCTTCTAACAATGGAGGTAACCTTTGAAGAAAGGCAGAAATTATGAGATTGGCTTCTTTCTTCAGCGATACCAACTTCTACGTTGTTCTCCAACACCCTTGCTAGCTTCTACGCAGGTGCTGCATGGATTCAGGATATGACATGAACCTCTGATTGGCCGTTGCAGTTTCGGATGTGAGGAAACTCCATTTTATTCCTCAAGCTTGACTCAAAAGTGCATATATCGTTGTCCAGAATCAGGGTCTGCTATAGTCGACAATATTATTATTATTTTTAGATTATACTGCAATAATTTGCTATCCAGCATCAAGTTTTCTGAAGTTTGAAGCAGCCGAGTTCGATGCAAGGATTTAAGTGTTGCGCCTCGGCAAAGCATCATGCTGCAGCCAATCTGGCCGGTACTGGTTACTCGGCCAGAAGTATATGGGAAGTGCAACTGATTGATGAGATCATGGTGTTAGATTTGGAGAGCTTCAGTGCGTATGGTATGCTCTACAGTGATGCCTGAGCTATGTGTGCGTGTCATGGAAAAGCTCCAGAAGGTATGGGTCCTAAGCTATCTATACAAGTTGTAGCCTTTTAGTGAGATCTGAAGTGGCTATGATGAAATACTGTTATTTGTTGTCTGAAGAATTTCACGTTAGTCGAGTCATGCGAATTATTTACTTGGTGAATGCCTTTTACCTGATAGATTAACTTGTGGTGTCACCAGATCTGATGCTACAACTTGATCACTTTGTCAGCTAGATTGAGAACAGCCGTAGCTGAATTGGTAGTAGTTAGTGTCATATTGGTGGTCGATTCAAGTCACGGATTCGAGTCCAAAGTGAATAGTCTATCAGGATAATTCTCTCAAGATTCTTGAATTGAAAGTGTTTCTTGCAAAACTAGTGAGTGTACTCAGACTAGAATTTCTGATCTTGAACCATACCTAAGATGGTTTTTTATTTATGGAATAGAAGATAATATTTTGGAGAAAATCATTCTCTTTAGCTCATGTTGATGTGGCAAGTTTTGTTGACTGGCCTCGTGCGTTGATAGATCCAAAATATTGATCATATCATTTACTTTTTAGTGTGCATTTAGAAGATCTGTTTGTGCCAGAGTTCAATGTACATCTCATGAACTTGACAATTATATCTTGTATTAGAAATCGATTAAAGAGTCTTAGGATCTTTTGCTTGAAGTGGAGGTGTCCGAGGTTGGAAATGCCTCGATTTGAAGGATCAGCTTTGGCCAAGAAGGTTGTGTCGAGCATGTTGCATGCTTTTTTTTTTGGGAGCAATGGCTTAGTTGGGGCTAATGGGCCAATGGGTCTATTGGCTATGAAGGTCATGTCGAGTGTGTCATATGTTTTATTTGATTGGAATGCAATGAGGCACGCCAAAGTGTTCTCATATGATATTATATCTGATTATGGAACATGAGATGAGATGTAAGGAGATGCTTTGGTCATGAAGGTTAGATGTATCATACTGTGACAAACATGGGAATACACATTAGAGCATCAAAGTACACCCATTAACTTGAAGGTCGGCCCTCTCAAAGATGTGATGGACTTGTGAGCAAAGTGATAAAAACAAACTAGAGAGAGATGGGCGATGATGGAGGCCATGGATGAAGTTGCCGATATGACACCGAACAAGGCTGAAGCCAGGGATGCGACATCGTCGGACAACAACACATGAACAAGGCTCAAGGCTGAAGCCAGGGATGCGACATTGTCGGACAACAACACATGGGCAGTGGTCGCTCGCTTGCTCGAGAGAAGATGGTGGTCGCTCACTCGACGCAGGCCTTGTTGCTCATGGGTGACATCGCTCGGAAGATGTTCGATGGTCTGCTCGAGAGAAGATGCAGCGGAAAAGGGTGGCGAGTTGCCATGGCAACGTCCCATGTCACAACAGCGATGGTGCGAAGCCTGGCATCAATGACAATCCAGCCAAGGCAACGTCCATGTCTCAACATCAACAACAATCCAGCCATGACAACGTCCATGTCGGTGACGGTGGGAAGCCTGGCATCAACGACAATCCAAAGAAAAGGGAGAGGAGAGGCAGATCTCACTTTGCCCAAATCCCGACTTGATGGACACATTAGAGCCTAATCAGAGAGACAGATTGGAAACTGGACATGCATTAAACAACTCCCCGAATGGAAACTGGACATGCATTAAAACAACTCCCCAAAACGAAAGAATATCCAATTACAACTAAAATCTATCTCAAAGTAATACTTTTGCTGAAGCAGTACACGCTGTGATGCGCATTTAAATACATCTCCTATCACAGACACACCTCAAACGAATATAGCTAACAAAAATTTTCAACCACTCGCAACAAAACGTAGAGAGTCACCATGTACACTTCGGTCGATACTTGCGGGACGCGGGACAGCAGAAAACCCCAAGCATGGAGCTCCAACAAGGGTTGACCGATTGGTTATCTTCCCTGTACAAGGCCGCTAAAGACTTGGCTGTTCCCTGCCAATGTTGCCTCCCACTCGATAGACGATAGCAGAATCTGGGACAAAGAGATCACCACTTGCTTCATGTCGGGTCGTAGTATAGGATCATCGTCCACACACTGCTTGGCCAACATGGCCATCTTAGTACATGACAAGGAATAGTTAAAGTCAGAATTTACCTTCGCCTAAACAGTAAATAAGATCATGGGGAAAAAACTCCTTGGTATAAGTGTGAAGGTCACTGATCGTTACAACATATAACGATCAACCAAACTCAAATTTCCAAGGGCCTTCCCAGTAAGGTCATGCTACTTAGTGTTTGTTACTGGGATAGCGATTCTATCATAGATGGGGTGAATCATAAAAGGGATGGACTTCATATTTAGTGTATCAACCTGGTGGTGAAATACTAAGATATGTCACATGCTAGCATGAAATCAAGAAACAAGGAACAAGAATGATAAATTTCCTGGCTAGCACGATATTTGGAAATGAAGCACAAAGTGTGTAATATCCAAACTAAGAGAAGGAGACTTTATCTGATAAAGAACACCAAAGGTTGATGTAACCACTAGTACAATGAGTGTTACAATTATATATCTTAGTTGTGCAAAGCATGTTATATCCAAACTAATATAATGACACTTTTTTGTTTTTTGCTTCACATAACGACAGCAGAGCAACATATCTATACAATGGGAGGATGCTTCTTCCACTTACCCACAAGAAAAAGCCAAGGAATTTTCAGCAAATATTTGCAAAGCAAAAGACATGAATTACCAAAAACTCTTTAACATTTCCGTAGCAAAGAATGATAGAAACTTTTCAACCGAGTCAGAGTGAACCATGTCACCTACATTTGTTTAATTGAATTATGTCATGCATCTTTTATGAATGTGTGTTGAGATATGCTCTCCAAAAATTAGGTAAGAAGAAAAGAAAACCGACATTAACCGTCCAAATCAGCAGAAATTACTCACCTTGTAGACACAATCATGAGGATATAGATTCATCAAACTAGGATCAACATAGTCTCTCAGGCTCCCCATGATTACTGAATTCGTAGAGCTTCTTAGAGCGGCTAACATCTGGAAGTTTTCAGCACTCAAAAGGTGAGAAATGCATCAAGCTATATAACTGCTGGTACAATCATGTCTATAAAAAGCACTACAAAACTAGGTAGGCTCAGTAAATGCAGGTAAAACTCTTTTTGGAAGCCCAATAATGTAACAGAAGCTGCAAGTTGGAAGTTAGGGCTATGCATTGATGTCAGTTTTGAAGTAGGAGTTAGTTGAATTGGACAATATTCAATTAAAGGTAAAAAGTTTAGAACTAAATACAGATCGCACGATCAAACATCACAGTTAGGTTAAACTACATTTAGTTGATTTTCTAATAAGTGCCTTTGTCAATAGATCTGCTACTTGGAATTAAATAATACGTCCTCTAATCAAAATTTTCAATTGCACAGCTTAAAAGAATCACCAGTTGATTGGTTTCTTATTGTAGCTATGTTTACAAGACATTCAACCCAAGTTGGCAATTTCATGCAGAAAGTAAAATGCTGAACATTTCCTGAAAACACATTTAAGCTTGCATAACCCATATAAGATTCCATATAAAGCATTAATTTTCCTCTGCAATTCTTTTTCTCTTGTCTTGCTTTTATTCTTAGCATGAGCTTCTGGATTGCTATATAACATACATGCAGAATGTCTGAGTGATAATGCACCTATTCTCTAGGTTTGCAAAGTGAAAGCTAGATGTTCTCACAAGAAAAATAAGTTAATTATTTAAGATTTGGAGTTGAAATTATCTATTTCATTGTTTTAGATAATCAAGAAACTTGTGTCAGATAAAAAGATCAAGAAATCTCAATGTAAGGTAATTCTACAAGTTTCAATTTTGGAAGCACTATAATATCCATCATCAACAGCAATTCAAGAAAATGTGCTCACAACTGATGCCAAAGATCGTCTCTCAGAATTAGACAAAACCATTCCTTCCGTTCTTGTTATTGCCCCTTTGCCTGATATTAACTCAAAAAGGACAACCCCAAATGCATAAACGTCACTTTTTGTTGTGGCCAGGCCATCATGCAAATATCTACAGGAATCAACAGAAAGTGAATATTGGAAAGCTATTCTCAAGGTGACACTGAACCAATATCTCCAGATCTACTTACTCTGGAGCCAGATACCCAATAGTTCCAACAACCTTAGTGGTAGAAACATCTCCATCTCCTGTCTTTGCAACAAGTTTTGCAAGCCCAAAGTCTGATATCTATATATAGAAAGAGTTAGTCGTATGAGAATTTATTGATCATAACAATGCATCTTGAACACTACAGTTAAGTCTGGAAAAACCTTTGCTCGGAAAGAACTATTAAGCAAGATATTGCTTGTCTTTATGTCTCGATGAACATATTGGTCTTTGGTATGCTCATGAATGTATTCTAGTCCTCTAGCGGTATCAAGTGCAATTTGAACTCTAGATATCCAAGATAGCGATGCCTGTCCTGAAGATGAAATAAGAAGCATGTGATGCACTTTTACATGGGCAGTTGGCCAAGTGGCAAAGAAGAATTTATTACACCAGTGACAGAACAAATAAATTACATAAAGTATACATGGTATCAGAGATGGAGGATGTAAGCCAGACTCAAACATACATATAAGAAAATAGCAAATCTCGATTGCTCTTTGTCACTAACTTATGCAATCAAAATCAATTTTGGTGATTCACTGTAATAAACACAATTGAATGACAAAAAGTCATAATCACTCATGGCCAAGACACATGTGAGCTAATGATTATTTCACTCATCTGCTTTCAAGGCTCAGTTAGACCCATCTCCAAAAGGAAGCACTTATGGTCCAGAACTGCTGATGATGATGCATCATTGAGTGTGTTGCTTAGCATATATTAGCACTCATTTAAGAGAAAAAGAACAGACAAAACACACTCTGGATTCACACATACCAACCTAAAAGTAGCAACTATAAGCACAGGTTATCATAATGTTGACAATTCAAACATATGGAGTACACATCTTACATGAAGTCATCAGAAAGATGGAACACTTACTTCCAAAGCTTGTATTGAATAATAACTGAAAGAGTGGATTGTCTATATGGTTTGCAAGATTATGACAGCTTGACATGCTATACTAGAGACTGATTCAAGATGGAAGAATGACAGTGCCTGATACCCTTGGCAGTTTGTACCATCGTGGTAAATCTCTTCTAAAACTGAAGCTTCTTACAACAGTATAATGTAAGCAATCATTTATTTTCCATAACATATTACAATGAGTCCCAAGTTTTGTCATATTAACAATGTAAGGGGACACATCCATATAATAATTTTCTTGGTCTGGGTATAATCAGATGAAGAAGAAGATCCAAAATACTGTTAATCCAGATTCTGGGCCTCTGCCTTCTTTTTCATTGCCTCAGAAAAAAACTCTCATAAGTCTTTTCTGTAACATTATTCATTTACGTAGTATTGCAACATGACCAGACAACTGTTATAGTTAGTATTCACGAAGTTATAAAGTCCATAAAAAATATCTGTCATGAATGATTCATAAGATGAAGAATTATGGAATGAGTAGAAAGTTGGAGAATTTCAACTCTGATTCAGAGAGTTAAGATGGAAAACATGGGACAAAAGATAGATAAAATCAATTCAAATAAAAAGACAAAACAGAATGAGATTTGTGAGGAAAGCATTTGAAGAAATCACAGTATGAATAAGCACAGGATAACTGCCTTTAAGATGTTAAGATGCAACCTTGTCTTGTTTGGTTTTGTTCATGATTCAGATTATTTGTGCCTTCCACTATCCAAAATATCAATTTGCCACCAAGTGCAAAGTTGATTTGCATCTTCACTGAAAAGCATTCTGTCTTAGACCTAACAAATCTCTATAAGAAAAATTATAAACCAAATTCTCCTTTTGTTTATTGAAATTGTTTTATCATCAAAACTGCCACAGAGGATGCCAGTTACCAAACTAATTGCAGGAGATTCTTTTATAGAAGTTCTAACATGCTTGAACCAAATACAACATAACAAGAACAACATCTAAGCTTTCATGTCACGAAAGCATAAGTTTCATTTATGTACACTAAATCACAAAGCCATTTTAGCCTTCTCTGGACTAAAGGACTTCATAGAAAGAAATCATACCCTTATTTTGTGGATCATGCAGATGACTCTTGAGCGAACCCTTCTCAGCATACTCATAGATGAGGAAAAGCTCATCATCACTTGCAGCATAGCCAATCAATTCTACCTTGACAAAATTGAAGTAAAATGAAAAAAAAAGGTTAAAAATATCTAAGCCACTGGTTTTTTTGTTGAAGCAGAAAATACTGTAAGCTTTAGCAGTTTTACCAAACTAGCATGATGAACCTTGCATAGTACTTTCATCTCCGCCATAAATTCTTTAGTTTTCATTGCAGTCATTCTTTTTATTGCAACCTCCTAAACATCATATTAATGTTAAAAATATAGTCATCACTGAGAATTCAGAATTTTGCAATATAAAAGCCAATAACCCTACAAACCTGGTCTCGAAGGACCCCATAATATACAGAACCATATTTACCGTGGCCCAGTAGATTTGAATCAGAAAAGTTATCAGTTGAAGAAAGTATCTCTTCGTACTTGAAAACAATAGGCTTCTCCATGTCAAACAAATCAGCTGCAGTATCTGTCAAAAATTATGGAAACTGACTCTGATATTATGATAATTAGACTTGAGAGGAAAAGAGATTACGGCGAAAGAATAATCTGTAGTCTAATAAAATAACCAATGGTAGATTTAGGCCCCTTGCAAGGCAGGAAGCTCATAACAAACCACTTTTAAGCTGTCATTCAGATGTGAACCTAATCCTCGAACAGTCTCTCCTATATCTTGCTCATCTTGTTCATTTTATTGTTCTCCTTCCAAATTGGTAAAGTTGTAGTATTTTGCTAGTTACAGATCCAGGCTTTTATCTTCTGCTTCGATCTAGCCAGAATCCTTTCCTAGCCATCCTATCACCTACGAGTTGTATTACTGCCCAACTTCGGAAAGTCCATGTATTTCTTCATGAGATTTGCACCTCTGAAGTCCAGCTCTAAATCACAGAGGTGAGTTTCATGTTCATGCTAATAGTATCCACAAGCATGTATCTGATATCACCATAATCATGTAATTTCTTTTAGTTTTGAAGCCAATATGTCTTGCTTGGGGTACACTAGGATGAAAATGGTTATGCATAAATCACCGAATGCCAATTTTCATTATGATAGTAATATGTGCTTTGCTGAAATATTAACAAATATCTTATATATAGCAAGAATAAATCAATACTTGTATAACACTCTGATTAGTCCAGAATGACTAGACCAAGCTCTCATTGGTATATGAATTACAACGTCTCAACATCTTGTGAATATTCCTTATAGAAAGCATAACCCATGCAATCTGGGACAAAAATAATGACAATTATGATATCAGGCAACAATCACTCATTGTGTGTGGGTCATGTTGGAACCTACTGTGCATTTATTGAACTAAGTTCTAATCCACAGGCAGGCGCAAGCATTGGCTATGGTAATGGCAAGTAGTCATAACTTCGAATTCCACATTATATCACTTGGGGGTCCAGCTTAACAAGGATGTCAGGGATTATATAGGGAGAGAGATTATGTTATCTCCAATCTGAATAGTCCCACACTGATTTTGGAGTAGGCTTCAATTACTATATGTCTCACTACTCATCTGAAAAATTTTGTGAGTACTACTTTTTGAGGACATAGGCCACATGTTTGTAGGGTTGATTTGTGACAGCTTGTAAAACCAAATACAAAAAATTCATATTTTTTGTATATTATGTGGGTATAAATTTTTTTGACGGTCTTTTGAGAAAAAGATAGAACTGAAAAAGGAATATGCAAGCATAACATATTGGGAAGTAGCATTCCAAAGAAAATTTGCAAAAGGAAGCATATGATTTCCTCGGGCAGAACCATTACAAAAAGTGAAGCTATTTTAATGGGAGGTTGCTACTGCTTGATGCACGCCAATGGCAATGGCTTTCATAGTAAGTATAGCCAATAACTCAAAAGGTTTGATATGAATTTGAGAATTTAGGGAGGCCTACAACCATTATAGAATTCTGCCCTTGTTTTCTTCTGTGCTTCGCACATATAATGTTATTCTATAGGAAAACTAAGAAAAACAAGATAAATAAAGTTGTAGCCTTTTAATTACAAATATTTTGTTCTTATATTTTCCTATAACAAGATACTACAGAGAAAAAGCATATCAAACCCATTCCACAACTATCAAATAGCACGACAGGTTTACAGAATCATCTCCTTGACCGATACAGATTCTTTTTCATGAGGAAACTATTTGATGAAGTAAATGTTGAAAGAAAGTTTATCCCAGATGTGCACTCAAACTGACCTTTAGGATCATTGATGTGGTGATTTCCTGCATCCCCTGTTGATGACTTCAGATTCCCATATTTGCAGCAGAGATACCTTCCTGAAGCATGACAAAAACTAGTGTTCCGAAGAATCTGAAACTTATGGGACACTGGTCCATTAGGATCTTTTGTTTGGCTCCTTGAATTAAAGGACTTCAAAGAAATGAAAGAAAGTAGTGCCACTGTTATCAGAGCAAGAGAAACACCCATACTCCCAAAAACCCACCCATAAGGGAATCTAGCAGAATGATGCATGGAGTTATCTGCAAAAACATTGCTTTTAGCTCAGGAATAACTATCAGAGATTTGAATATTATGCATTTCTGAATAAACAAAATATCAGGAATAAGGACACAAAAATTACTAAAAATCTAGTTAAGATTTTACTTTTTGAGAATTTGTTAATGTTAATCATGATTCTGTTTAGTTTCCAAAGAAGCAAAAAATAAACTGGATATAATTGACAATCAAGGGGAAAAAAGAAAAAGAAAGTGTTAAATAATTTGGAATTCTGGGAATCTTGTAGGATAATGTGTTTATGCATTTCTCATCTAAACAGCTACTGTGCATAAGTCGGAAAGAAGGTGAAACTGAATCTAAGATTTAGAATAGCATACCTGAAAATGTAATCGGAGTTGGTGAGGGAGCAGGAGTGGGAGAAGGGGAGATCCCAGTATCCATAGCAGAAGGTAGACCGGGAACTACAGTGGCAAAAGATGCAAAAATTTAAGGAGCATCTAATGATAAAAAAAAGAACTTTGCAAATACAAGTTGAGCTACCTCTTGTATGCTGAAAATTTTTAAATAATTTGCACATGCAAAGAGGCATAGAGATCTTTATTATAAGCTGAAGATGACTAATCTCTGTGCATTAGCATACAATTCACGTTCATGGGTGTCAGAATGCTTAAGTGTACGGATTGATAAGTATTTTGGGATTCATAGAACCAGTATCCTAGGAGGATAAGGAACCTGAGAAATTTTTGTGAAAGAAGAAAACCCTAATTATCAATATTTGGTTCTTTTATAGATACTTTGGATGCTCCTAGGTTTCTCTTTATAATATCTAGAGAGGGTGCTCTCTAGGATTTTTAGAAAGGGTGAAAGATAGATATAAATTCTTCAGGGTTTTTGTGTAGGAGTATACAATGGAATTGTGCAGATAACTCAAGCATATTGTAATTGATCTCACATGGTGGAGAATTTGATTTTCTCCGTAAATATAGGCATGAAATTGCCAAACCACGTTAAATCATGCATCGATTTGTTAATTTCTGAGTTCTCTTTTCTGCTTTTCGGTTCTTCTCTCCCTCTCAACATGAAGGAATCAGCAAGACAAAATGGAAAGATTCATCAGCTAGGACATATTGAAGCGGAATTGATGAGAAACTCGTCTTATTCAACTAAGATCCACCGCACACGGACTCTTCAGAAATTAGAGGGTGATCATCCACGGTAAGAAGACCAAAGAAAAAATGTTGAGATCAGAAGGCAGCTCACCGGAATTCAGCGGGATGTAATAAACGTCACCGACGACAACCTCATCTGGACCGGACATCCCATTCACTGTCTCGATACTGTCCATGCTCACCCCGAACCTACTCGACAGCGACTCGACCGAATCGCCTTCCTCCATCACGTAGCTCATCAGGTAATTCCACAGGCCGCTGGAGCACCCACAGAGGAGGTGCAGGAAGACGATGGCCCGGGCCCGGGCAGGCCGCCGTGTCATGTTGGGCAGGAAAGCGAGCCCCTGGTACGCGTCGACGACCACGGGGTACACGGAGCTCGCCGCCTCCGGCACCGTGAAGGTGGTGTTGGTGAGGTATTTGTTGTCGGAGAGGCAGGAGCAGTTCTTGCGGACGAAGACATACCCGGGGCTGCCGTCCTCGTCAGCGGTGACGTCCTGGGGGAAGACGTCGAACATGCTCTGGATTTGGCGTAGGGCGGCAGCGCTCCGATCCGCCTTGAAGGCCAGGAAGGAGGTGCAGACGCGGGCGGTGTCGGAGCAATTGAGCGGCGCCGACGAGGATGCCGGAGAAACGGCATCGAACAATAGGATCGACATGGCTAGCGCAAGTTGGAGGATCTCCATTAATCCAAACAAAAAACGAACGCAGATTGGAAGAAGTAAAGAAAATTAACGATTCTGATCTTTATCAGAAGAGGGAACGGATCGAACTCATGAGAAAGATTTGGGGGGTTGGAGAAGAAGAAGATGAGGAACGGAGCTCAGATGCAATCGGAGTTGCCGGAAAATGGCAAAGGAGGGTTAGTTACATGGAGGAAAATAATGTGGATGGAGTACACGAGAAAGCTGAGAGGAGGCGTCGGGGGGGCTTGCAGCGATTCCGGTTACCTCCATGTTTCCGTTGCATAGTAAAGAGAGAGTGTGTGCAAGCTTTGTAACACAGAGATAGAGAAAGACAATACTGCCCCTTATCTTTTTACTCTATTCCTAATTTGACATTAATGGTGGTGCTTTATTGGCAATAATAACAATGATTATAGGAAATATTAATATACATGATCTGTACTAAAATGACAGAGGGAGAGAGAGGGAGAGAGGCAAGGGTAATGTGGTCAATCCAGTTGCAATTTAAATGCTTTGAGAACAGTAAGCAGCACGGTGAAGCAGATGATGGGGAATCCACTACGTGCTCCGAGGAAGCTGTTAACAAACAAAGTAGAGGACAGCAGAAGGCAGGAGAATCCGAAGGAGAAAAGTATTGGAGTCCACCGCATGAGCTCTCTGGTGGACGACAGACGAACACCGGCGTCTGACGCGTTGAACTCGACCTCTCTTCCTGCCGTGTTCTGGACCTTGGATACTGAAGCGCGAATCCTAAAGCACTGGAGAAGAGGAAGGGGTGACGGAGGAAGACGAAGGAAACTGGGCCCATCTCCGGCTCCGAGTCACGTGATCTTTCCAGTGGAGAACAGGGGATGTGGGGATGGGGGGTGTGTAGTGTGTGTGCATGACTGCTGCCACGATGGAAGGCAGTAATCATGGAAGCTACAGTAACCAGTACGGCGTTGTTGCCATCGCCATCATGCCTCCCAATCTCTGCATTCAAAAGAGTAATTAATGCATTGCTGGGTGCTTTCTGCAAAAAGCCTATCGCTTTCAGTACATCCTCCAGCGTTGAAGCCTTTGGTGAAGTGTCTGGCAGCTTTAGATGGTCTGAGCAACGTGATTAGCGACAAAAGAGAGGATTATTGTAAGAGCAGGGGATGGTCTCTTGGGTACGAAGCATGTGATGGGTCCTCATTTTAGCTTCAAGAGTGTGGCAGTAGGTGGACGCTGTCCCCGGGCATTTATGATATAATGGATTGCAGTTGGCTCGGGCACGGTCGTTGGGGGACTGCATGGCTTCTTCTCCTTCCTGTGGAGCCCGGGGATGCCTTTTCTCTTGCACTGCAGTGGTTCTACTGTTGTGGTATTAATGTCCCATTTCGTGACAGCCTAAATAGTAACTTGTACGGTGAAAGACGTGTCTGGTAACGTGACCGAAGAAGAACTCTCTCTCTCTCTCGCTCGCTACACTTCCATTGAATCCATTGCAATCGGTTAGATTCTTTTTATCTTTCTTTTGTCTGTGAATGACATTATTACTATACTGCAGCTGTACAGCACCTGAGGAGGATATGGGCTTTATGTAATCCAGGGAGCTCATCGGAGGAGAGACTTGGATATCCAAGAGGGAGGCCATGAAAGCCTAATCGAGCTACTTGCACTTTGACTGGTAAAAGCTAAATAGGTCACAGAATGGAACTCTCTCAAGGAACCAAACAACATGGGTTGTATGATTTTGATCTTGGGATTGGGTCCTCGTGCAATTCCGGTTTGCACATTTCCTATGTTATGCCATGAGCAATTGATACAGTTTCGCTGCTAATAAAGTGAACAGCCACACGTATGCACGAGTACTGCTTGCAGTTGTATTTGACCGCACAGATGAGAAAACAAAATCATGTTTTGACGTAATTTTTGTTGCCACAAGGTGTAAGTTATAGGGTTCATAAATCCATTCATTATACTAGTCATCCCTCTTTGCGACAAACTTGACCCTACAAAACCACAACAAACAATAGAAAATTTTATATCAATCGACTTTAGCCAAAATCTAGGCAACCAAAAAATGTTTATCAAACTGGTTGCCTCTTACTCTCCTTGGAATGCAATCCGAATCCATTTCACTGACCACCAGATAGTTTCGTTCTGCAGAATCATGCTCTATGATTCATTCCACACAAACACTGAAACCCAAACAGGATTTGGGATGACAAACTAGCAAGCATGAACTGCAGGAAGCGCTCTGGCAATTGGCTGTTTACCACCAGAAAACTTCAGAAAGGGAAAGAAGCAAGAAAGCTTCCTCATCATCAATGGTGTTCGGATATTCTGATTTGATAAGACTCTCTTTTCATCACAAGCAACCCTAAAGGCTTCATAGCCTTGTAGGTCTGCATCAGTAATCAAAACTTCATCCTCTCCAAGAAGAGTACTGGTTTGAGGAGCCTTACATGATGACATCCTCTGATCTTTATCATCCTCAGCACTATAACCTTCTAAATCATGTGCGGTTACAAGGACTTCATCTCCTGTGAGTGAATATGTTGGCTTCGGCCATTGGATTGCAGGAAATTCTAACTTTCGCTTGCTATACTCTTGAACAGCCTAGTAAATTCATGTGCACAAAAGTGAGGCAAGAAATCAAAAGGGAAGAAACTATCTGCAGTATGTTACCTTCTAAACAAACTACAAAGTTTCAAAAACAGAAAAGCCTAAACTCTGGAGTAAATTATCCATTTTAATCTTTTCAATAAACCATCCATGGACTTCATTTCAGGCACCATTTTAATCTTTTAATAGACCACATTCATTTATATTATCTATGAAGATATAGTAACATTCATACCTGCCACTGTGATGGAGCCAATAGGACCCGGGGCCTTCTAGAACGCACATATTCAAGAGCAGCTACAGGTGTCATATTCTTGTATTCAATCTGCAAATTTAGGGTAATGACATATATCAGCAAATTTGTACCTGGCAGTAAAACCTTTGTTATTTTATACCAGTTGGGCTACATAAGTTAACTGTCCTTTAGAGCATACATGGTTCACAAAAAAGAAAATTCCTCAAAGAATCATAACTACCAAATAGCACAGGACAATGGTGGTACTACGTCCCCTTCCTGCTTTACAATGGACGTAGGTTGTCCTCCCATGGGATGCATTCCCTAAAAATACAGAAGGAAGATTATGCTATTTTTTAACAGAAAGAAAGAAGAGATGTGTAATCCAAAGTTGCAGCATGACAGTATTTAGGAACATCGAGCATTGTGATAGCCTCTAGCATGATTAAGTGGTAACAAAATTTGTGTTTTGAAGAAAGAAAACAAGTATGCTATCGTGATACATCCTGCAAGAAGTCATAAATATGCCATAAAATGCAAACTATCTGAGTTACAGAACTTTCAGAAAACAATCAGAATGATAAGCAGGCATATAAGTTTACAGATTCTTAACTAGAAATTAGTAATTTTTTTCTACCAACTTGCCACCAAGAAATATTTAGATGGTAACAATCTAGGAAGGTAATTTTGACCATGCAGGACAATTAAAGTTGTCCTGTCATATTTCATAAGGTTATTTTATTGTAAATTCTTGGGTTCACAATTTTGATTCTCTAGCATAAATTCTGCATTCCATAAGTTGAATAACCACACTGGCAAGAGCTAAAAGCCATCAGTTGGAAACTCCTCTGGCAAGAGCAAACCCTCTTTTAGTTGTTAGGAAAAGGCCCTTAATATTTAACGATCCTTTTGTTTTAGCTACTTCCATATGTAAGTTAAATTCAACATATTTAAGGAGGGGAACATCTTTTTTTTCCTTTCTATTATGTGGTAGATCAATTTTAAGGTTTCAGATACATGACAACTGGTAGGTGAAATTTTTCAATGAACAAAAATTGTATTTACCATCATTACGGAGATAAGGAACAGAAAAATCCTTACTGTGGATGAAGTCAACAGCTAGGCATATGTCCACAAGTGAAGGAGCAAAAAGGTAATCTGTTGTAGGAACCACTAGGTGATCAATCCCATGAACCTGAATGAAAGGAATGAAGAATCACGAGAAGTCTTTACTTTGACAATGGCCCAAAGAACTTTTCTCAGAAACTTACTGCATTACACAAAAAATGTTTATGCACAATGAGATATAGTGAAATTGTGCCAAGATTTGATTAATCTCATTGAATTTCCTAAATAAGTCTAGCAAGTTTCTCATTATGTGCTTGTAGATGAAAATTTTGTTGCAAAACATGCCTATCTTGGAAACTTTTGGTATGACGATCAATTGCGAATCATGGACAAAATATTTAACTTTGACAATTAGGATCTAGGTATCATAGTTATTCTAATATAGTTTATGAAAGCAGAGTTTTATACTTTTGGCAACAACATATATTATCCAAATTCCTACCCCGGTGATATTTGTAAAAATGACCTTTGATTATTGTGGCTTGACCTGAATGGTGTCAAAACTTACTAGATAACTAGTAAGTTATATACACGCCATATGAGAAAACACAAACAGAAAATATTGAATCAGAAAATGAACCTCAAAAGGAACTGTGTTAGGTAAACTTGTTATCAATGGATTATACAAGCACAAATTTTGCCCCGTATAAGGATGATAAAAGGCAAGGTTTACCTTGTATAAGCTCGATGGGACCAAAGTCTCATATGGTTCGTTCAGAGTAATGACTCCTCGAACTCCAAGCTGCTGCAAGCGAGGGACATCTTTCCGAAATGGCACAGCACCCAACAGTATAAACTGAAAACTCGAAAGAGCAAAGTCATAAAGAGTGTAAAATGATCACCATATCAAGAGCCTTCAACTAAGTGAAGTTCAATAATCAAAGCAGTGTTTAGAACCCAAAAATCATAAGGCATCCCAGCATAAACCAGAAAATCGAATTCATAATTCCCAATTGCGTGCAAATACCATACATCAAAGCAATATGCCATATAATTTGAGGGAAACAGAAGCTACCTGATCGACTTCATCCCACCATCGGAACTCAGCCTGAATCTTGTTGCGAAGGACATTGTACATCAGGGTCGGATAGAAAAGAACACGAGCTCCCGCTCCCACCAACGCTCTCTTCGCCCTAACCGTCACGAGCTTCCCGCCGTCAGAATCCTCGGATCCCCCTTCATTCGGCTCCTCAATTCTCATGATCGATCGGCTACCCAAATTGGAATCCCTGCTCGGTTATCAGAAAACAATCGTCTCCAAAGGACTCAGGAACTCCTACTCGTTCGAAACTCACGACAATCGGAGGAAAACCTTATTCGATGATGCTATGGCGAGAGGAT